CCTTTCCCATTGGGTGTGGCTTTGTGATTCTACTAAGATCAAGAGAGAGGAAAAGAGAGTTTGGCAGTTTGGAAGAGCTGCATGGAAGACGTGATACTCGAAGGAAAGATAGTTAGGTTTAGTGAAGTAGGAAAATAATCAGGGCAAAAAGAGAAACAGGAACAAAAGTTGAGCTGTATGATAATGAGGTGCCCATGAGCAGAGGGAGTTCATGCTCAGTGAGGACAAGAAGATTCTCAACCAAATGAATCTAACTTGCTCTTTATTTAAAAGTCACTGGGGATACACAATCTACATAGTATCAAGTAAAGGATGGCCTGTTTAGCTTGTGAATGATGACAAAATTTAGTGATTCAGAAAACAATGACCTGTTTCACATTTATTCATTAGGCTGAATTTTGTGTTCTATTTTTATATTCAAACTCTATACCTGTTCCCCTTCTCACTGTACTACAATGCTGAAATGTATTTATTTTAATCTATAGGTTAACATTCAGAATCAACTAATCAGGAATTTCTTCAGTTTTATGCATGAAGGGTATGTTTCACAAGTATAAAAAGAAAAAACTTAAAAATGTTTGATATAAGAAAATATCTGGCTGTTTGGGTCCTTTCTTTTGAGAATGGGAGTATTCTAGAATCAATTTTACCTGTACCTTAGGATTGCAAATGGAAATCCTTGATATTTACATTTTAGTGTCTTTTTAATGCTTACTATGAATTCTACATCATCAGATATGTGGTGGCAAAGGTATAATTTTTCTGAAAAATTATATTTTTTAGCAAGAATATTTGCATGCAAAGCATCTTATTTTTTTCTGAATGTCATGCTTTTCCTGGAAACCGTTAATTTTCTTTCAGTATTTTTCTATTTTCTACAGTCTGTTGATAGTGGTGGGAAACTTGAACTTGAAACACTGTTTAGCCATGTAGATCTTGAAATTAGTATGTCTTTCTCAATGTGGGAGAGCATTTGAATTGGTAATTAGTGTTGATTCAGGATAGAAATACTGAAGCAACATTTTGCTGTGCAATGACATAAAAATTTCAAAATGAAAATTATAAGAAGGTTGCCAAAAAAAAAGACATCTTGAAGTTCAAACCCTCCAGAAAAATTTGCTAAAACTAGCAGTGATTTTCCACAGGTCTAGTAATGACTCTGAGTTAAGCTTTTAACTAAAAAAAAAAAAGCATTTTTTTTTTTTTAATTTCACTGGCAAAGTTAAACAAAATCAACTATAAGGAAACCAAATGAAAAAAATTAAACAATCTTTTAAAGTTCTACAGATGATCCTAATGTCCTGCCACGGTTGAGAAATCCTGCTTTGTTCTTGATGGATGACCTTTTCCTTGGCTCACTTAGCCTCAATTTCTGAAAGTAAAATATTTCTTAATTTCATATTAAGTCAATAGTACATACTTTTCACCTAGGAAACAGACATTCTTAGGTACTATAACCTTTATTATTCTATTCTTCTCTAGCAATTTTCTATGATTTACCCCACCCCTTTTGTAAATCATCATCTATTCTTTCTACTACCATCTCTTCCTAAATCTCTTCACTCTGTAACTTTATCATTTTGCAGCTATTATTTTTCTCACCTGAAATTGCTCTTCGCCTTTTTCTTACCATACTTTACTTTTGGCCTCTCTGTCTACTTGGATTGTTGGTTAAGCAATGCTGTTCCCTCACGATTTCACAGGCTGGTTCTGCCTAGTCATTCAAACCATTTGAGATGCTGTCTGAGATCATGAAAGCTTGGTCCTGCTTAGAAAAACTTCCATTCTATTCATCTGGCCAAACTCCTTTCTACATGTAAAATGCAGTATGAATTTTGCCTCCTGATGAAAAGTAGAAAAAGGTACCCATGGATCCTGAATTTTTGGCATGATAAAAACACCAGTTACTCACCGCGCATCAAATGAAGACCAACCCATCAAGGACACATTTCTAGAGATCATGGCTTTGTTTTGAAACCTTTTCAGTGATATCCCATGATGATTTTAGACATTTTCTGCGAAGACAAAAGAGTCATTTTGTAAATATCCCTTTGATATTTAAATAATCATATAAACTTTCTGAAAGCTTCTTGAAGGATGAACATTAAAGTTTAAGTGCTTGAAAACTGTATTATATTTTCCTCAGTGAATTTTGCGTAGGGTTTGGTTCTATGGGCTTTTCTTTCGCCATATCTAAGCCACTCTGACAATGAGTTGAAGGGAACTAACATCATGTAAAAACAAACAAAATCAATGTGTAAGCATAGGGCTGGGCCATTGGCTTAGCTGTAGCACCTGTGAGAAGGTCTTGAGGTTATTAACAGAGAACATCAGCAATCAGTTAAGAATAGGACTTGGATTTGAAAAAACACAATAGAAAATTAGCATCAATAAAGATGTAATACAAAAATGAAGCGGGCTATAGTTTTTTTTTCCTTAGTTTTGGTTGAACTTCATTTAAAGTATCATTTCTACTTCTGCAGAGCATGAGTTCAGAAAAAGACATAGACATCTCAGGAATTCAGTGGGGAGAAACCAGGAGGGTAAGGAGATCTGTGTGAGGAATAGTTAAACGAATGAGGCATTGGCCTGCAAAAGAGTGAACTAACTGGAGCATCCAGTCACCATTTTCAAATACTTGAGAGGCTCTTATGTGAAAGGTACACACAACTTGTTCTGTAAATACTAGTGAGGGAGAGGCTTGGGACACAGGGTATGTTTATAAGGATGCAGAACTCCCAAATTCATGATATAAAATTTTTGATTTTTGAGAAAACTTATTTCTGATATTCTAGGATTTATAACACTTTTCTACATGTTAATTTCTTAGTGGGTTGTGTCTTCCATTAATTTATAATTTAATAAGTTGACCTAATTTATTCTATAGAACAAGTTCCATAATATTATATTATTGACCTTTTCTTGGACTTAAGTTTCCTCATCTTATTACATACTATTCCCTATGTAAATGTAATCATTGTGCAGCAGAACAAAAAAAAAGTGTTAAATATTTTACATGTACTGAGTTTAAGGGGGTGGAAAGAATGATTTTAACTCAGATAAGTTGTTTAGGGAAGGCAGGAGAATGACTAGGTTCATTGATTTTCCAATATCATAACTTTATCTGTACATATGATAATTTTAATGGATTATGTCTACCTATCCAAATTCACAGCTGAGAAAATATTTCAGATTAATATCAGATATTATTCAGGGCAATTGGACAGAAGCACAGTTATTCTTCTTGATGAAAAAAATGAATTTAAGGGGGCCTCTTCTCTTGGAAGCTTATTCGTTTTCTATTCAGTGTGAATTAATCAGAATAAAGCTTTAAAAAACCTGAAAACAATGTTTAAACTCTTTTAAAATATATATTTGATTTTTAAAACTTCACAAATGGGTACATATTTTCAATTTTTAATTTTTTTTTTGAGATGGAGTTTCGCTCTTTTGCCCAGGCTGGAGTGCAGTGGCGAGATCTTGACTCACTGCAAACTCTGCCCCCTGGGTTCAAGTGATTCTCCTGCCCCAGCCTTCTGACTCCATGGGATTATAGGTACCTACCACCACGCCTAGCTAATTTTTGTATTTTTAGTAGAGACGAGGTTTTGCCATGTTGCCCAGGCTGGTCTCAAACTCATGACCTCAGGTGATCCAACTGCCTCGGCCTCCAAAATACTGGGATTACAGGTGTGAGCAACCTCACATGGCCTTTTTTTTTTTTTTAACATTTATTTTAAGTTCAGGGGTACATGTGCAGGTTTGTTATGTAGGTAAACTTGTACTTTTAACTTTGAGGAACTCCATACTGTTTTCCATAATGGCTATACTAATTTACATTCCCACCAACAGTGTACAGAGTTTCCTCTTCTACTGACATCCTGCATGGTCTGTATTCTTTGAATAGAGACCAGGGAACAGGAACTAGTCTGCAGTGAGCAGAGTGTGAGGCCAAGGCACAAATCATGTGTGTGTTTATATCTATATAACAAGAAAATATGCCGCAGGCGGTTTTAGCTTGTCTAGTCTCTTTCTTTACACTTGAAAAACCAGTCCTAGAGTACTTTGGGGAAGAAGCCCAGAGTGGCAATTAATGTTATTCACCCTCCTCCCACTCTGTAAATATGGGTTTTTCCCATGGTTTAGCAGAGGCTGTTTATTATTTTATTCCTGTACTTTCTCCCTCACTGATCTCCTGCACTCCTATGTCCCCATGAATGTGCACAGCCATGTGTTAGTCCAGTAATTGCTGTGCCTTTGAAGCATCTTTTCTTCTCCTCCCTAAATTAAATCTGTCAATTGTGAACCAGTAAACCAGTTTTCTCAAGAATTTCCAGTGGTTTCTTATAAAATTAGGCCACCAGTACTTTCACTCTTTATCAATCAAAAGGAGGAAATTCAAGCGAAGTCAAGGTGCATGTGTTAGTGAAAACTGAACTTGGGGTTGGAGGTCGGTTCTTGTTTCAGCTCTGCCTTTAACAAGCTGTGTGGTGTTGTGCAACTTAGTTTCCTTATTACTAGCATGGAGGGGTGGGACTAGAAGACGTCTAGTTTCCTCTCAGCTCAATGAAAGCAAAGAATGCTTTCTTCTTCAGTTTTATTAGTGTTTCCTAGTATTTCTTTAACCTTCTATGGATCCACTGCCTGATACACTGGGAGGAAGTACATAAATAGATTTAAAAGTTTCACTTATAAGGCAGGTAATTAGATTTTATCCAATTGCTTACAGCATGCTGGGTATTGAGGGGAAAGTTAACTAGTTTTATCAGCTCCTGGTTTGAGTAAGTAGTAGTCAGTGTCTTGAGGAGTTGAGACTAGAAGAAAGAAAGGAGATTTGTTAAAAAAAATAAAGGTGGGGCTGCTGTGCACCTAAGCAAGGACATCAACCTTCAGTTATCAAATAATCATAATTCACAGAATGGCTTTGAGAAAATCTAAACATAATAATTAAAAATTTCAAGCTGAGATTTGAAGAAATCTGGAAATTTATCCTTCTGTCTCAGGAAGATTTTATATTTCCATTTTAGCACTTGAAACTCCAGCTCCTGCTGAATGCTTCTGGTTTTAGAGAGTTCACAATATTGTAAGTCCAACTGTTTTGTTTCCAGTGTTGATATTCTTTACATGGGTACTGTGTTTTCCAGAGAGTGGAAAAGCACTTTGATTATATGCAATACTCACGTGTGTATGATGGGAAAAGATAGTCACTCTATTTTCTTTTTTAGAGGAAGATTAACATTCAACTAAAAGATACTCTGGATGGTCATTCTACTTGTGCATCTGACAGGTAAGAAACAGACTATGAGATTACAATATATTACTACTAAATATTTCTCTTATTTTCAACCTTGAAATGAGCTATTTTATGATAAGCCCTTGTCTCCAGGAACCTGGAAGTTTCAAGAGCTCTAAAACAATCATTCATAGCAGACTTCCTTACCATGAGGCTGTTCCTGTGTTCATGTTAAGACCACATATCATTTTCTGAGGAACATGGCTCAAAAGAATTAATTTCAAGAATAAGTAACACTGTCTAACATTCTGGCTGTAGAAGTGTTTTCTCTTCCTGTATCATGTTTTCCACTTGCAAGGAAAATTTTTAATGAAAAACACTTTGGCAGCAAAAAGAACAAAGCTGGAGGCATTGTACTACTTGCCTTCAAAATAGTATAGTAATCGAAACAGCATGGTACTGGCATAAAAACAGACACGTGAACCAATGGAACAGAGTAGAGAGCCCAGAAATAAATCCACATATATATGGCCATTTGATTTTTGACAAAGATGCCAAGAAAACGCAGTGGGAAAAGGACAGTCTCTTCAGTAGATAGTGTTGATAAAACTGTATAGCTACACGCAGAATAAAAATGGTCCCTTATCTCACTATATACAAAAATCAACTCAAAATGGATTAAAGATTTAGATGTAAGATTTGAACATGTAATAATACTAGCAGAACATATAGGGGAAAACTCTGTGACATTGGCCTGGGTAATGATTTCTTAAATATGACCCAAAAGCATAGGCAAGGAAAGCAATAATAGACAAATGGGATTATACCAAACTAAAAAGCTTCTGCATAGCTAAGGAAACAACAGAGGGAAGAGAAAATGAAATAGGAGAACATATTTGCAAGTAATACATTTTATAAGGGATTAATATCCAGAATATGTAAGGAGCTCAAATCAAAAAGCATAAAAACATTGCATAAAAACAAATTACCTAATTAATAAGTAGAGGACCTGACTAGACACTTCTCAAGAGAAGACATACAGATGGCCAAAAGGTATATGAAAAATATTCAGTTTCACTAATCATCAGGGAAATGCAAATTAAAACCACAATAAGCTATCACCTCACATCTGCTAGAATGGCTATTACCAAAGAGACAAAAGATAGTTGTTGGTGAAGATATGGAGAGATAGGAAACTTTGTACATTGTTGGTGGGAATGTAAATTAGTATAGCCATTATGGAAAACAGTATGGAGGTTCCTCAAAGTTTAAAAATAGGGGAGGAGGTTTAAAATGGCTGACTAGAAGGATTTCATGCCTGCCTCCTCCACTTAGAAGAACCAGAATAATGCACAGACAGTCATAATTTGAGTATACTATCCAAGAGAGAATGCTGGAATGCAACAGGGAAAGGACAGGAAACATGAAAAGCAGGAAAGAGGAAGGAAAAGTGGCAGCCTGCCTGGCTGGGAGCCAGAAGTGACTTTGCAACCTGGGGAATGGGCGAGAGAGAGATTTTCAGTGGCCTACATCCCTACCATGGAATCCGGCAATTCTGGCCATAGGAGAACCCCTTGACCCACCCAAATCCTGAGACTAACATACGGAGCTTCTGGAAGATGATGGGACAGAACTGCTTCAGGGAGGGGGCTCACACTGGTCCCATACCCTTTCTGAGACCCAAGCTGCTACAGTTAAGATTCCATTTCCAAACCTAGCAAACTGCATGCTGTCCTGGAGCTCAGTGGTACCAGGACTGAGGAATTATGGAAACTTGGGCTGCCACTTCTAGGACAGTGGAGCAAGCTGAGCGCACTCCTGCAGTCAGCCAGGGCTAAGAAGCAAGTGAGGCATGAGCTGCAGTGGCCAATTTTAGGAAGCAAGTGATGCTGGGATCTGAGATGGAGATGCAAGTGAGGTGCAAGCTGCTGCTAGAACTTGGTCACAAGCTGGGTGGGTGCTCTTGCAGCCAAGGTGGGGTGCAATCTACATGTGCCAACTGCAGCCACCAAGGCATGGGGGACAATCTCTGCTAGGTCTGGGGTGTGAAAGGAATGTGCATTCCCTACTTGCCAGCCCAGTCTGTGGGCATTAAGGATGGCTTCACACTCTCCAAAGATAAGACATCAGCATGGCTGCTATGGCCCCTCACCCAAGCTCTCTGCCTGGGACCTGAGGGTTGCCATGTCTTCACCAGCTGCAGCTGGTAGCTGTTCTCACAGTTGGAGAGCTTAAGCACAAGACCACTTGGCCCAGCTTTGCTCCCCCTCAAAGACGGAGCACATAGATCTTCAAATCAATTCACCATGACAGGCACCTGAGCACTCCTGCTGAGATCCTGAGTTTGGGTCTAACCTCCTGGCTGCTAACATCTCAGCTGGCACTTACCTGCAAGTGCTAACTGTGGGCTTGGAGACTGGCCCACCCAGTCCATCACAGCCACCACCAGTGTCAACACATACCACTTGGGACCTAGAGAATTGTCTCACCACTGCAACTGTCATTGCCCATGCCATGCCAGCCTCCGGGCATAAGAACCCACCTACCCACCCCATCCACTGCTGCCATTTCCAGTATCTGAGCAAGCCACTAGGGGTCCAAGAATCAGCTTGCCAGTAACCACCAGCATAGGTTCCAGCTTATGCTGCCCTGGGGCACAAAGATAGGCATGCTCAGCCTATTGCTGCCACCAGTCAGGGCTGAAGACTGAATTACCCGGCATCCTAGTTCTCAGCACAGCTTCACCACAGCCTCCAATAATAACCATACCTAACCCACCAAGGAAATCACGTATATCAATAATGCTGTTTCCAGTTAAAGAAATCATATAGAGACTACTGAATGCACCAAAAGCAAAACCTGAGTATCCTAGCCAATCAACACCATACTACATCTTTAGAAATAAAGTCCTCCCCTATAAAAGGATATTGAAAAGTAGGAAAAAGTAACAGTTACACTAGATGTGCAGAAATCAATGTTAAGGACACAGAAAACATGAAAAAGCAAGAAAATATGATGTCCCCAAAGGAAAATAATTACTTAGCAATAGATCTTAATCAAAAAGTAGTTTTGGAAATCAAGACAAAGAATACAAATGATTGATTTTAAAGAAGCTAGTGAGATACAAAAGAATTCTGAAAAACAATACAAAAAACAACCAGGGAAAAAAATCAGGATATGAATGAGAAATTTACCAAAGAGATGAAAACCCGCAGAAGTGTAAAACTCAGTAGTAAAGCAATTACATAGAGGAGGAAGAGAAAGCACTCAAATGGTACCTCTGCAGAATTCCATCAAATGACAATAACAATAAGAGAAAAAGAAAGGAACAAAGAATATATAAAAGAACCAGAAAACCATTAACAGTATGACATGAACAAAGCCTCATATGCCAATTATAACCTTGAACATAAATGATCCACTTAAGATATAGAATGGCTGAATGGACAAAAAATTCCAATTTTATGCTGTTTGCAAAAAATTCACCAGTAAAGGCATATGTATTTGGCAAGTAAACGGACGGGAAAGGGTATTTCTTGTAAATGGAAGTGAGCAGGAGTAGCTATAGTTACACCAGATAAAACATACTTTAAGTCAAGAACAATAAAAGATAAAGAAGATCATTATATAATAAAGGGATCAATTCAGCAAGAGGGTATAATCCTAAATATATATGCACCCCACCCTGAACAACCAGATTCATAAGGCAAATATTACTAGATTTAAAAAGAGTTAGATTGTAATACAATAGTAGCAGACTTCAACACCCCTCTGTCAGCACTAGACAGATCATTGAAACAGGAAATTAAGAAACACTGGATTTAAATTGAACTTCAAAGCAAATGGATCTAACGTATAACAAATATTCTATCCAACCCATGGAATACAGCAAAAACAGTGCTAAGAGGGAAATTTATAGCAGTAAAGGCTTACATTAAAAAAGACTACAAATTAACAATCTAACAATGCAATTCAAGATACTAGAAAATCAAGAACAAATCAAACTCCAAATTAGCAGAAGAAATAATAAAAATCAGAGGAGTCCTAAATGAAATACACTAAAAAAATACAAAGGATCAACAAAATAAAAAGTTGGTTCTTCAATGAGATCACTTGGACTCGGGAAGGGGAACATCACACACCGGGGCCTATCATGGGGAGGGGGGAGCGGGGAGGGATTGCACTGGGAGTTGTACCTGATGTAAATGATGAGTTGATGGGTGCTGACGAGTTGATGGGTGCAGCACACCAACATGGCACAAGTATACATATGTAACAAACCTGCACGTTATGCACATGTACCCTAGAACTTAAAGTATAATAATAATAATAATAATAATAATAAAAGAAAACTTAAAAGCAAACTTTAAGCCAAATAAACTTGTTTTACTTTAAAAAAAAAAGTTGGTTCTTTAAAAAGATAAACAAAATTGATAAACAACTACCTAGACTAACCAAGAAGAGAGGAGACCCAAAAAATTAAATCAGAGAAGAAAAAGGAGACATTACAACCAATACTATAGAAATTTTAAAAAACATAATTATGAACAATTATATGCTAACAAACTGGAAAACCTAGAGGAAATAGATAAATTCCTGGAAACATAGAATCTACTAAGACTGAATTAGAAAGAAATAGAAAACCTGAACAGACCAATAATGAGTAGCAATATTGAATCAGTAATAAAAAGTCTCCCAACAAAGAAAAGCCCAGGACCAGATGAAGTCACAGCTAAATTCTAGCAAATTTACACAGAGTAACTAATACCAATCCTGAAATTATTCCAAAAATATGGAAGATGAAGGAATTCTTTATAACTCATTCTATGAGACCAGCATTATCTGATACCAAAGCCAGATGAAGACACACAGAAAAAAACAAAAATCCCAAAAAACAAAAAAAGCCCACTACCGACCAATATTCCTAATGAATCTAGATGCAAAAGTCTTCATCAAAATGCTAGCAAACAAAATCCAACAGCATATAAAAAAGATAATATGCTATGGTTAAGTGGAATTTATACCAGGGATGCAAGTATGGTTCCACAGATGCAAATCAAAAATTGTGATACAACAGAATGAAACAAGTACTGCATAATCTTCTCTACAGAGGCAGGGCATTTGATAAAATTTAGCACCGTTTCATGTAAAACATCTCAACAAACTGGAAGGAACATTACTCAAAATAAAAAAGGCCACATACTACACCTCTTCCACTAACATTATACTGAATGGGAAGAAAGTGAAAGCCTTTTCTCTTAGAATTGGAACAAGATAAGGATGCCCGCTTTTCCCACTCCTATTCAACATAGTACTGGAAGTTCTAGCCTGAGCAATCAGTTAAGGAAAAGAAATAAAAGGTATCAAAATGCAAAAAGAGAAAGTCAGATTGTCCTTCTTTGCTGATAATATGATCATATATCTAGAAAAATCTAAAGACTCCACCAAAAAACTTTCACATTTAATAAATGAGTTTAGAGAGCTTGCAAGATACAAAAATCAATGTATAAAAAGCAGTAGAATTTCTGTGCACAAGTGGTGATCTAGTTAAGAAAGATATCAAGAAAGCAATTGCATTTAAGATAGCTACAAAAAATAAAATAGTATAACTTCAACCAAGGAAGTGAAAGCTTTCTACACAAACAACTACAAAAATCACTATTAGAAGAAGTTGAAATATACATCAACAAATGGGAAAACATCTTATGTTTGTGGATCTGAGGAATCAATATTGTTAAAATAACCATCTTGCCAAAAGCAATCTATAGATTCAAAGCTATTCCAATCAAACTGCAATGTTATTCTTCACAACATTGAAAAAACAATTCTAGAATTCTTATGAAACCACAATAAAGCACACATAGTCAAAGCAATCCTAAGCAATAAGAATGAAGTTGAAGGTATCAAATTACCTGACTTCAAAATATGTTGCAAGACTATAGTAACCAAAAATAATATGCTACGGGTATAAAAATAGACATATAGACCAATGGAACAGAATATAAAACCCAGAAATAAACCCACATATTTACAGCCAATTGATCTTTGACAAAGCCAACAAGAACTTATGTTGGGGAAAAGCACCCTCTTCAATAAACTGTGTTGGGAAAATTTAATATTTACATGCCAAAAGATGAAACTGTACACCTGTCTCTCACTGTATACAAAAGTACAAATCAAAATGGATTAAATACTTACACATAAGACCCCAAACTATAAAAATACTAGAAGATAACCTGGGGAAAACACTCATGTACATTGGTCTAGGCAAAAATTTAAGACTAAGTCCTCAAAAGCACAGATAACAACACCAAAAATAGACAAATGGACATTAAAGTCCTCTGCCTCGCAAAGGAAAACAATCAGCAGAGTGAAGAGTCAACCTGTTGAATGGGAGAGAATATTTCCAAACTATTCATCTGATAGGTGACTAATACCCAGAATGTAGAAGGAGCTCAAACAACTCAATAGGATTTAAAACAAATACTCGCATTAAAAAGGCAGAAATCATGAATACAGATTTCTTAAGACACACAAATAGTCAATAGGCTTATGAAAACATGGTGAACATCACGAATCATCAGAGAAATGCAAATCAAATCCACAATGAGATATTATCTTATGCCAATCAGAATGGCTATCATGTAAAAGTCAAAATATAACACATGTTCACAAAGTTGCAAAGAAAAGATAACTCTTATACACTGTAAGAATGTAAATTAGTACAGTCACAATGAAAAACAGTATTTTTTTCCCCAAAACTAAAAATAGAACTACTGGGCAATCCAGCAATTCCACTATTGAGTATCTACCTAAAGAAAAAGAAATCAGTACATGAAAGAGATACCTGCACTGAATGTTTCTTGCAGCACTATTCACAATAGCAAAGAGATGAAATCAACCTAAATGTCCATTAGTGGATGAATGGATACAGAAAATGTGGTGTGTGTGTATATACATATATATATATAAAATGGCATACTTTTCAGCCATAAAAAGAATAAATAAAATCATGTCATTTGAGGCAACATGGATGGAACTGGAGATTATTATGTTAAGTGATATAAGCCAGGCACAAAAAGACAAACTTTGCATTTCTCATATTTTTGTGGTACCTAAAATATCTGATCACATGGATGTAGAGAGTGGAAAGACAGATAACAGAGACTGGGAGATATGGAAAGGGGCAGGTGTAAGGATGAGGAGAAGTGAGTTAAAGTGTACAAACATATAGTAAGAGAAGGAATAAATGTAGTGTTTGATGGCACAGTAGGATGACAATACTTAACAAAAATATACTGTACTTGGGTGATGCACACCTTAAATACCCTGACTTGATCACTATGCATTTCATCCACGTAACAAACTTCTAACGTATCCCTATATATTCACACAAGTAAAAACAATAAAATGAAATAGAATTACCATATGATCCAATAATCCTACTACTGGATATATATCCAAAGGAAATAAAATCAGTATGTGGAAGAGATATCTGCGCTCCCATGTTCACTGCAGCATTGTTCACAATAGCCAATATATGGAAGCAACCCTAAGTGTTCATCAATAGATGAATGAATTAAGATAATGTGGTATATTTACACAATGGAATAGTATTCAGCCTTAAGAAAATTTTTGTCCAAATTTTGTCAAAATTCATCTGATAGATGACTAATAGCCTTAAAAAAGAAAATTTTTGTCAAAATTTTAAATTTTATTTGCAACAAGTGGATGAACCTAGAGGACACTATGTTAAGTGAAATAAACAAGGCACAGGGAGACAAATACTGTATGGTCTCAGTTATAGGTGAAATCTAAAAACATTCAATTCATAGCAATAAAGAGTTGGATGGTAGTTACCAGTCTGGGGGCAGGGAGTGGGGTTGGGGAGATATTGGCAAAAGGAAACAAAATTTCAGGAGTAAATTCAAGAGATCTATTGTACAACATGGTGACTATAATTAATACATATGTGTTATATTCTTGAAAATTGCTAAGGGGATAAATTTTAAGTGTTCTCACCACAAATAAGTATGTGATGTGATGTATATATTTATTAGCTCAATTTGGCCTTTCCAAAATGAAATATGAAATATACATATTTCAAGGTGTCATATCATGCATGATAAATGTATACAACATTTATTTCTCAACTAAAACGTAAATCTGAAAAAAGAATACTTCAGGAGAAAAAGACTTGTCACAAATTCAGAGTTATAATTCTTTTTAAGGTATTTAGTGCTTGCTCAACATGAAAACAAATTAACGTCATAGGATTTTGTTTTATTTTCTCTTTGAGGACAGCAGTAAAAGAGTGGATGCCACTTATTGGGCGGCCACTGAGCACTGGGAGTTTGGCATTATTCATCCGTGTAGCCTTCCAACAAATCCACAGAATTGTGATTCTTGTTTTTCAGATGACGAAACTGAGACACAGAGAGGTTAAGCTTCCTTCCCAAGGTCATGTAGCTAATAAGAGCTGGCCTCCCTCTCTACAAAGGTTATGTATCTTTTCTTATACTCTACAGGATTTTAAAGAAGTACTATTTTTCCATTTTAAAATGATTTTTAAATGGCTTAACAAAAAATATGCTTTCAAGCTATTTTTAGAAATGACCTATGGAATTTATTTAGCACACGATTAGAATAAGCCGCAAAATACATCCATTCATGATTTGAAAAAGCAGTGGTTAGGTTTGGAGTAGTAATTTAGGTTCTAGTAGGATCACCTCTTCAGTATCAGAAGGGCCTTTTAATCGCCTCATCAAATTTTCAAGTGTAGGGATTCCCTTTCCCACATCCATTAGGAGAACTACTTGAGCTCATGTAGTGATAGATATGCACTACTTTAGGTAGAACTTTCCATTTTTGAACAGCTTGAATGATTGATAATTCTACACATTTACGTATTCTTTGCTGTTGGCATATTACTCAGCTTTTTAACATATTTTGTTTCATTCATGAATGCTTCTGTTTATTTTGAGTCCATGACTGTCCTCCTATTTACTTTCACTCACAGGAGCAATGAAGATTTTTTTCTATATGAATGTGGAACATGGGGAAGAGTTTTTGGGTTAATGTTTCTAATTTAATGTTAATTATGTATTATCTTTTTGCTGTTTGTTTTGGTGAACATATTTCTTGCAGATTTGACAATAATGAGTATTTGATTTTCTTTTGTATGAAGTCCCTTCTATAAGATCAAGAGCTTTGCTAATGCAGTTCTGTATTTGTACTGCGCCCTCAAAACCAGCATCTTGGAAGGCAAGAACAATTCTGACCCATAGGAATAACTTGCCATCTTAGCGACAGCAGATCTGTTTGTGAATAGATAATTACAAAGTAAAACCTTGGCAGACAAGAAGATTCCTTTAGTTTTAGGAATGGAAATTTTAACTTTTGATTTACTTATTAATGCCAATGTGGGGAAAACACATAAAGGAATTTGATATTTCATACCTTCAATTGCACGTATGGTGCTCTTGAAATACATGTAGCCTGAAGTTTTGATGATTGGAAAAACAAGCATTGTTGTTTTTTTTTTTCCTTTCAATTTGGAAAGGTATCATATATTTTTAACTTGAGACCCCTCGGTATAAATAAAATGTATCCTTGCTTTTTACCAAATTCTTCATTCTAATGTATAAGGTGCGAGTGTGCAGAAGGGAATATGCAATCAGATATGATTCCAAAAATGCACATGCAAGACACATGGATAAAATCGTAAAATTGCACTGGAACCAATTCTAACTCCTACATGACTAGAATGTATAGAACATGGTTACGTGTCTCCTGGTTAAGTATCAACCACCCTCTGAAGGTAGTTTCTAGTGAAGTTTCTATCCCCATAATTGTTGTTTGATAGGTAGATTTTACCTTTTGTGGATAAGTATGCTCTGTGATAAGAATTAAAGGTGTGTTCATCATTAATTTTATCTAATTTTTCACCTTGTCAAAGAAGATTAGAATAGCGTATGGAACTTGATTCAACTGTGATATTTTGATATATTAAGAAATATGTATTTTGGTTTTATCCTTCGTTTCTGGCATAGAACTTCTGAAAGTCTTGGAATTTCCCTAGTGATGGGAGTAAGAGTAGTTTCTTTGGTTATTCATAATAAGCTCCTGTCACATACCTGAGTTTATGCTAATGAGACAACCTGTGGTGAGTCCCTAGATAGCTTCAGGATTGGGGCTGGTTGTCAGAGGAAACAATCATATGGTTAAAGGGTTGGAATTTTGAGTCCAGCCCCTGACCTCTGGAAAGAAGAGAGAGACTGGAGATTGAATTAATCACAAACGGCTAATAACTTAGTCAGTCATAGGGGTATTTCCATGAAACTCCTAAACAATGGCATTTAGAAAGCTTCTGGGTTAGAGTTGTTCTAGTAAATTATTGAACCTGAGGAGGGGGTCATGGAAACTCTTGATTTATAGTCAATTGGACAGAACTATAGGAGGCTCAGGACTTGCATTGGTATCTGAGGTGAGAGTAGTCTTGTAGGACTGCGTAGGGTCTGTATTAACTCTGGTTAGTTAGTGTTAAAATTAAATGGAATCATTGGATACCCAGTTGGTGTCTGGAGAGTTAGAGAATTAGTTGTTGGTATGGGGAAAAGAAAAAACTATGCATTTGATGTCAGAAATATGGGTAGAAACAGACCATGGTATCAATCATTCTGATTTCTTCTAAGAATCATCCCCTTAAAGCATTTACAAATGGATAAAATTGATATTTTCCTAATTTTTATCATTTAGAGATATTGTTTCAAACACACAGATACTGATTTTCTCTTTAAGATAAATTAGTAATGAGTCAACTCTTTCTCAGTTTTCTAGCTCTTCTTCTAATAGTAATCTTAACTCCAAAATGGTAGCCAGTGGCCTATGAGAGACATTTTTAAAAATATGATTGGATTTAAAATACATTGCATATTTTATGTGCTGGATTTATGTAATAACCACCATTTATTGAGTGGTATAGACTGGTCACTGAGTTTTAATCTTCAATTCTGAGTTAAGTAGCATTATCCCCATTTTGTAACTGAAAAGACCGATGATTGGAGTGGTTAAGTAGCCTGCCTAGTGTCATTAGTAAACAAGAGAGATTTTCTGAAGTGGTGGAAGTGAATATTGATGAGAAAGGGAAAGGGAAAGGTGATGAGGCAGATGCTATGGTCTGAGAGCATCTCCCAAGATTTGTATGTTGAAACTTCCTTGCCGTGGTGGAGCCCTTAGGCATGGGATGAGTGCCTTTATAAAAGAGGTGCCAGGGAACTGCTACCCTCCCTTTTTGCTCTTTTGCCTTAGGTGAGGACATGGCAAGAAGGACCTCACCAGACACCAAATGCCAACACCATAATTTTGGACTTTCCAGCTTCGAGAACTGTAGAAAATACTGACCAGTCTCAAGTATTTTGTCATAGAAACACAAACAGACTAAGACAATAGGTGAGTAGAAGTTAGTATGAAGGGCAGTAAGAAGAACTGGCCATATTTAATCTGAGGTATACTGAGTTGAGAACATGTTACTTATCTTCAGTTAACTAAATGTTGGGGCTTATAGTGCTTGCATAGTTCCAAAGGGAAGAAAAATGGTGAGTGTATTTTTGCTTACATATAATAACATAGAGAAAATATACTTCTAGGAAGCAAAATTCTATCCTCATCTTCACACCATCCATAAGATGCCCACATGTAAGTTTTCTGAAGAAGGATTTATTAGGCCGGACACAGTGGCTCATGCCTGTAATCCTAGCACTTTGGGAGGCTGAGGCGGTTGGATCACCTGATGTTAGGAGTTCGAGATCAGCCTGACCAACATGTTGAAACACTGTCTCTACTAAAAATACAAAAATTAGTCGGGCATGGTGGCATGTGCCTGTACTCCCAGCTACTTAGGAGGCTGAGGTGGGAGGATCGCTTGAACTCGGGAGGTAGAGGTTGCAGTGAGCCGAGATTGCACTGCTGTATTCCAGCCTGGGGAACAGAGTAAGATTCCGTCTCAAAAATAAATGAATGAATTAATGAATAAATAAATAAATAAAGTGATTGTGTTAAAAAACGATTTATTAATTGTTGTCATAAGATGAATGGATAGGATCATTGCAGACAACTTTTTCTCTAAAAGTGTTTAAATAGACACCAGACTAATTGCAAATGATGTTACAGAAAAGATTAGATTTAGAGGTTTGGATAAACAGACCTTAGATTCTATGAAAGTAAGGATATAGAGAGTGTTTTGAAGGAATAATAGTTTAAAAAAATGGTTTCTGAGCTGGGCACCGTGACTCACGCTTGTAATCCCAACACTTTGGGAGGCTGAGGCAGGTGGATCACAAGGTCAGGAGTTCGAGACAAGCCTGGCCAACATGGTGAAACCTGTCTCTACTAAAAATACAAAAAATAGCTAGGCATGGTGGCATGCACCTGTAGTCCCAGCTGCTAGGGAGGCTGAGGCAGGAGAATCACTTGAACCCGGGAGGTGGAGGTTGCAGTCAGCTGAGAACATGCCACTGAACTCCAGCCTGGGTGACAGAGCAAGACTCCATCTCAAAAAAAAAAAAAAAAAAAAAGTTTCTGTATTTATGCCCTATAAAATCTTAGTGTGCTATCTGTAACTTTCTAAATAATATCCATTTTTTTTCCCAATACGTACCAAACCTTTGTGGAGCAGTGGAACCTTTGTGAAGCAGTACGATAAGCGGCTATCAGGCTGACGTAGCTAGTGGTTACTTATTGTAAATATGCAATGGTATTGCACAAAACATATAGCCAGTCAGAATCAGCAAACCTCTTTCTTATTCCTTGTCCCATTTGTGTCTCCTAAATTATCTAAGAGTTCAGGCTAAAGGAGACTTTCAGTTGTGCATTATTTAGGAAACTCTCTAGGCCATACTTTCAGTAAGAAGTTGAAAACAAAAGAAGTTGATAACAAACTCATTTTCTTCTGTTGTGAGCTTTTAGTACATATTCATCATACTATGAGATTTGAAGTTCTTTCAAATGTTTTCATGTCCCAAGGCATTTGTGAGAATAAACTTTTTTAATAGTCTCTTTTTAGAATCAGAGAAAAACTAGTAATGAAGTACAAGCAGGATGTTTGTATTCTTTCTTTAAATCCATGACTTTATGTCACTGGCTACCTGTAGAATGACACCAGCCTCTTAGCACATTTGCGAGTGATTAAAGAACAGGCTGATTCAAAAGACACTCATAAAATTCTGACCATTTACAGCCATGCATATCTGCTGGACAGATAGCAAACCAACAAACTTTATAAAGAAGTGACTATCCAAATTGGATCTCTTTTGTTATTTTTAGAACAAGTGTTAACCAAGTATTTCTTTTGAAGTGTTGAAGCATTTCCTTAGTTTAATTTTTACACATGAAATTTCTGATTGGCTTTGAAAGAAGTCTATATAATGAGGAAGGCAATTCTCAGAATAGAAGCTATCTTGAGGAGACTTGATGGAAAGAAGTTACCAAGTTTGACCTAAAACTGGAGCGTAAGTGTTAAACTGCCCCCCCCAAATATACTGGAGGACAGAATGCTCAGGGAGATGCTAGAAAGATAAATAAAGAAAACAGAAAAAAATGGATGGCTGTGGCCTCATTTTTCTACTCTGACAGACAAGCTTAAGTCTGCTAATTGAGAAAAGTTGGAGAGGGGAAGATGATGTT